GTGACAATGAATATATACATCTTCACATATAACTGAAAAATTGTGGTCTACACTAGAATTTGACACAACATTGTAAAATAACTATTACTCATTACAAAATGCAAAAAAAAAAAGAAAACAACAGATGTGAGCAACACTTCAGACAAAATTAGCAGAAGGAAGGAAATAAAAAAGGTTACAGTAGAAATAAATGAAATCGGGAACAGAAAGAACAATAGAAAAAAATATAAAACTAAGAGTTGATTCTTTTAAAAGATAAACCAAATTGACAAACATTTAGCTAGACTAATTTTAAGAAGACACAAATCAATTAAATTTTACTTTTAAAAAGAATTTTTTTTTAAATGGAGGTCCTGGGGATGGAAACCAGGACCCTGTGCGTGCTAAACATGCTCTCTGCCACTGAGCTATTACCTGCCCTCCAGATCAATAAAGTTTTAAATGAAAGAGGAGACACTATAATTGATACCACAGGAATATAAATAATCACAAGAGACTATTATGAAAAACTGTACGGCAACAAACTGAACAACCGAGATAAAATGGGTCAATTTCTAGAAACATACAACGTATAAAGAGTGAATCCCAGAGAAATAGAAAATTTGAACAATTACGAGTAAGGAGATTGAATTAGTAACCGCCCAACATAGAGAATCTCAGGATGAGATGGCTTCACTGGTGAATTCTACTAATCCTTATTAAACTCTTTCAAAAACTTGGAGTAAAGTCAACATCCCTAAACTCATTTCACAAGGCCTCATTGGCCTAATACCATGGCCAGATGTGGACACTACAAAAAAGGAAAACGACAAGCCAATATCCTTGATGAACGTGGATGTAAAAATTCTTAAATGCTAGCAGACCGAATTCAGCAGCAAGTTAAAAGAACCGTACACCATCATTAAATAGAATTTATCCGTGGGATGCAAGAATGTTTCAATATAAGCAAATTAATAAATGATAAATCACATCAACAGAATAAAAATACAATTCATATGATCATCTCAATAGATGCAGAAGTATTTGACAAAACTGAGTATCTGTGATACTAATGCTCAACAAATTAGGTATAGAAGGAAAGTATCTGGGTGTAGCTAGGGGGAAATCCTCACTTACAATTCAAAATAATGTTTGTACCCACACAAATTTGGGGGCAGAGTGTGTACCATGTGAGTGGGTGAAAAATTCCAAGACAAAAATGTAAGTTAAAGTGGTCCAAGTCAGTACAGCACTCCTGGAAACCTGGCCAAACTAAATGTAAACTCTCTCTGGGGAAAGTAGCTTAATCCTAGGAATCTAATCATTCCTAGAGCTAAACCTCCAAGCACCATGAGGGCACAAAGTCACTGAACACACAAATAAACAAGCTGCCATAAACTATCCAAACCTGCAAAGATGACTGATATTGGAATGTTGTTACAGTATATAAAATGAGTATATTTCACTTATTTTTAAAAACAGAAAAGGGGATTTAAAGTATAGAAAAGGAACAAGAGAGCAGATTCACCACAAAGTAACTACTAGATTAGTATCTGATTTCTCAACAGCAACAATGAAAGCCAGAGACAAAAAATACTATCTTCAACAGAGTAAGAGACAATAACTGTCAACTTTAGCCAGCGAAATGATTCTTTAAAAATGAGGGTGAAATAAAGACATCTTCAAACAAATAAAACTGAAGGAGTTTGCTATTACTAGATCCTGTATTTGTGACCTGTTTCTGGATAAGAAATGGCTACAAACTCAGTGGCTTAAAAGAAAACATGTGTTGTCTCATGGTTTCTATGGGTCAGGAGTCTGGGTACAAGTTAGCTGGGTCCTCTGCTCAGGATCTCACCAGGCTGAAATCCAGGTGTCATTCAGGGCTGCAGTCTCACCTGGGCTCCTAGTCCTCTTCCAAGCTCACTGGTTATTGACAAAATTCTGCTCCTTGCAACCGCAGAACTGAAGCCTCAACTGCTAGAGGCCCCGTGGCTGCTCCACAACGGGGCAGTGTGCTTCTTCAAGGTGAACAGGAGACTCTCATAATTCTGAGAATGCCTGAACCCTTCTAAAGGGCTCACCTGATTAGGCCCGGTCCACCCAAAATACCCTTCCCTTTGATTAACTCAAAGCCAATTGGTTTCTTGAGTCTTTACCTGGTCAACCTATCTAAAATTTCAACCCCAGCCCCTCATCACGGCACTCCCTCTTTCCTTTCTTGCTTCTTTTGTGTCCACAGCACTCATGCCTATGGAATCTTATGACATACTTGTGTTTATTATGCCTCTCGCTCCACTAGAATGTACACCATTGACTTCATGGATACTTGTCTATTTTATCCATCACTGCAGGACAGTAACATATAGAACAATGTCTTGATTAGCTGACACGCCACAAACACATACATACATACATACATTTATTTATTTATTTATTTATTTATTTATTTATTTATTTATTTATTTATTTAAAGAATTGTTGGATATTTTATTGTGGGTCAAGAGCAAAGATTCATCTTTTTGTTACAACTGCTGCTTTTTTAAAATTACAGAAGTATAGTCAATTACAATGTGTCAATTTCTGGTGTACAGCATAATGTCCCAATCATGTATATATATTTGTTTTCATGTTCTTTTCCATTAAAGGTTATTACAAGATATTGAATATAGTTCCCTGTGCTATACAGAAGAAATTTTTCTTACCCATTTTTATATATAGTTGTTATCATTTGCAAATCTCAAACTCCCAAATTTATCCCTTCCTACCCCCTTCCCCCAACATCCGTAACCCTAAGCTTGTTTACTATGTCTTCGAGTCCGTTTCTGTTATGTAGATGAGTTCATTAGTGTCCCCTTTTTTCTTCTTTTTAATTTTTTTTTGGGGGGGAGGTAATTAGGTTTATTTATTTATTTATTCTTAGAGGAGGTACTGGGGATTGAACCAAGGACCTCATGCCCGCTAAGCATGCGCTCTACCACTTGAGCTATACCCTCCCCCTTTTTTCTTCTTTTTAGATTCCACATATGCGTGATATCATATGGTATTCTTCTTTCTCTTTCTGGCTTACTTCACTTAGAATGATGATCTCCAGGTTCATCCATGTTGCTGCAAATGGCTTATTGATTTAATGAATAAATTAATGAATGACACAAACTTTGGAAAGCTTTGAGGAACTCAAATACAGAAAAATGTAACTGAAAGAGGTGAAGAAAACTGTGGTAGACATGAAAAAATATTGTTCATTCACACACACACGCACACAGCCAAATGGTTCTGGCTCTCACTACATCAGCAAACCCCTTTACCAGATACATACCATAATCACAGGAGTGAACTGCCATCGTGTTCAGGAGTCTCTGCACACTCAGGAGGAGGAGATTATGGAGAATGTGCACACAAGGGGGTGGGGACCCTGGCAGCCACCTAGAAGTCTGTCTACCACGAATCCTCATCAAAGGAACTTCTAAAGCATATACTTAAAGACAGAAGGAAAATAATCCCAGCTAGAAGATCTGAGACATAAAAAAGCAAGCAGAGGAAATATGAAACACATGGGTCAGTCGATGCAAATATCAGCTACTGAGAATAACAAAATACCTGATTTGTGAAATTAATGAAATAATGAAATTAAAATACTGGGTTACAAAAGTATACAAATTCAAAGGGAATGATTAATGTTGAAGAATTCTAAGATCTATGTATTGTTTAAAAGAAAAATAAAGATACTGATTAAAGATACTGTTTAAATTAAACACACATACAATAAAGAACAGAAATAGACTGTATACTTTCAAAACAGGAGAGGGAAGTTTAAAATGGAAAAATTATTGCACTGCACCGTAAGATGCTCCTAACCAGCCTTCTCTCCTTCACTCAGGGTCAGACTTGTCTCACAGTCTGGTGGGTCTCCCAGCTTCTCCCAGCTTCTTCCCCATTTTCCCTCACAGCTATTTCCCCTGTCAAGTTTCTTGTACATATTTCATCCTCAATTAATTCACATTTGCTTCTCATATGATGTCCCTGGATGAACACAAATCCCAAATTCATTTTATAAAATGAATACATCCATGACAGCAAAACCAGACAATGGCAATATAAGTAAGGGAAAGGGCAGTAAAGGCCAGTCTCATTTATGAACGCAGTAAAAAGTTCCAAACCAAAACACGAGGATACTAAACTTAGCAATGTATATGAAAGTAATACTCTGACCAAGTTGGTTTAAAAGCAAGTTTGGTTTAATACTAGAAAATCAATTAAGGTCTGGGGAAAAAAACAAGATTCATAATAATTGAAAGAGAAGAAAGAAATCTGTTATTATCCCTAGATGGTGTGATGTTCTATGTGGAAAAACCAAAAGAATCTACAGATAACTTATTAGAATTAGATAACTTTTTTAAAGTTGTTTGATATATGATTAATACATGAATTTTAAAATACCACTTGCAATAGCATAAAAAGCAAGGTGCCTGGAATTATAGTAAGACTTATGCATGATCTTTTGGATAAAATTATTCAAAATTTTATGAAGGTATTAGTAAGATTTAAATAGATATAAGTACACCTTGTTCATGTTTAGAGCAACTCATTATCATAAAAACATCAATCCTGCCAAGTAGATGTAGCAAAATCCCTAAAGGATATGTTTCTGTGAAATTTGAAAAGCTGATTCCAAAATTTATGTTGATGAGGGGAGGGTACAGCTCAGTGGCAGAGAGCGTGCTCAGCATGCACGAGGTCCTAGGTTCAATCCCCAGCACCACCATTAAAACAAAACAAAACAAAACAAAAACCTGTTGATGAACAAAGACCCCAGAAAAGAAGAAGTGGGCTCTCACTCTGAGAATTCACCTGCCTTATCAGATGACTAAGCATCCAGGAGCAGCTGGTTTGATAGAAAGATGGAACCATTACCCGGGCAGTTACCATACCAGCTGGGAGACAACACCCTGTGCAGCTGGGGTGCTGTCCTACAGTGTGTGGTATATGCCTTCGTCCAGAGGACACTGTGTGGTGCTGCCTCCCCCAAAGCCGGGAACCCTAATAGACCACCGGAAGGACCTTTACTCCCTCGTCACCACAACACGGGGCTTGGTAGGTTTGGAGATTTTAGTGCCCAAGAGATGAACACTTCCATCTGAGAACTGACTATGAAGTAGAAGCTGGAGCTGTCCCCAGGCTAAGCTGAGCTCTCATGCGTGGAGCCAACAGGAAGAGGAAGTGGTCATTACACCGAACAAGGTGACTGATGGTTCCTTGGAATTGACAAGAGAAGGCATAATCCGAGTGAGGGCTGGGAGTCAGGGGGAAGGCGGCGAGTCAGGGCAGGGGTCACAGAGGTCAGTCCATCTTGTCTAGATCTGTTAGTCGGGCTGAAGCATCCCAGAGGCTTTGGGCCACGTGAGGATCTCGGGCAGCTTTAGGGGCAGGAGTTATCACACCGGAACTGCTAAAATGTTTTCCAGAGATGCCATCTAGCTCCTTTGCCAAGCTCAGGTAGAGCACTGGGACTGCACCCTGTTTGCTGTTCTGCGGAGACACGGGGGTGGGGTAGGAGGAGGAGGAATAAAAGCCAGTCAGGCTGTAGCCTGAAGGGACACGCTGAGCAGCAGACCCCCTGCCCCAACCCCTTCAGGCAGAGCCAGCTCCTCCCCACCCACCTTAAAGAAGAGGCCGAGGAGCCAGAAGATGAAACGATATAACCAAGAGAAATTCTTCATGATCTCTGTGTACACAACGCGGGGGTCCACGGAGTTCACAGTCACACCTGCGAGAGACACAGACAACGGTAGTGCAAAGTGCAGTGAGAGGAGGAAAGGGTTAAACGTGGCTCTAGGATGTGCAAAGAGGGGAGGGCCCTACCAGCCCTGCCAGGTGGAGGTGACCAGAGACTCCAGGTGGTGCCTGAATCAGGGATCTGTAACTCACATGAATGGCGCTATCCGAGCCAGGAAGCGCACTTAAGTATTTGAAAGTGCGGGGTGAATTTTAGGGGGAACACGATGGATGGTGTTGCTACT